CCCTTCCCCTCCTCCCTTCCCCTTCCCCTCCTCCCTTCCCCTTCCCCTCCCCCTTCCCCTCCTCCCTCCCCCCTCTCCTTTTCCTCCTTCCCTCTCCAGCTTCCCCTCCTTCCTTTCCCTCCCCTCCCTCTCCTTTCCCTCTTTCCCTCTCCCTCTTCCCCTCCTCCCCCTTCTCTCTTTTTACTTGGCTTTATTTTAGGTATATTTTGCCTAGATGGATGGATGTAAACCACATGAATACATGGTGCCTGTAGAGGTCAGAAAATTATGTCATCGCCCCTGGAACTGGAGTTATAGTTGTGAGCCACCATGTGGTTGCTGGGAATTAAAGGCAGGTCCTCTGAAAGAGCAGCCAGTGCTTTTAACTGATGATCCATCTCTCCAGCCCCAACCCCCTTCTTTGATAGAAACGTTAGAAGGCAAGTGGGTATTTTTCCTAGACATTAAGAAAAGCTCTTCACATGGACTTTTCCTTTACTAATAATAGTTTAGCTAATCCGCTGAGAATTCTTTTAAGCTTTTTATTGACTCTTTGTGAAATCCGCATCACGCACCTGTGTCCCACCTCCCCATCCTCATATCTACTTTTTTACCCTTGCAACCTCGCCCAAAGTAAAAATCATACACACAAGCAGCAGCAAAGCATAGAACCTCATCATAGAAGCTACAGTATGTCACTGTGTGTCTCACAATGTATTCTTCTGTCCACACGTCTTCACTTGAAAATGTTCCTTGCAACAAGTCTATTGGTCTGGTTCCAGATCTCTGGCTTTTGTGACAGCGCCAATACTGGATCCTTTTGGGGATTTTCCCCAGCTATCCTGTTGTTGCCCTGTGTCATGGAGATTCTACAGCTTTGGATCAGCACAACTATCCCTATCATGAATCCCAGCCATTCACAGATGATATAGATTGTGGGTTGGGCCAACTCAGCCCTGGATCTGGGCCTGAGATCTGGGCTTGAGCTGGTCAGCCCTCCAGCTCTCTCTTATTCTCACCACCAGGGGGAGCTCTCCAGCACTGCTCCACCTAGGCCACGTAACACCTCCAGCAGCAGAAGTCCGCTCTCCTGCTCTCATGCCCTAGAAGCCGGCTCACCCACACATATGCCGGCAGAGCCTGCTCCACTGTGCTCCCAGTCAAGGCGTGGGGCCCACTCTACCACGTGCAAGCGACTGGGCCAGTTCACCTGTTCTCATACCCTTAGGGCTGGCTCATCTGTGCCTTCAGCCTTCACCATCAGGACCAGCTCCACTGCACTGCGTTGCCCTGGTGAGGTGCAGGGCCTGCTCTACAGAGTGCTACAGCTAGAGAGGGGCAGGGATAGCTCTCCAGCTCTCATGCCGTTAGGGCCAACTCCCTGACTACCACAAGTAGAGATGGGGGAAGTAGAGAAGCATCACCCCCGTGCCTGCACCACCTCAAAACAGATGAGTGGAAGAGACCAACTCTCCCAAGCTCATGATCCTGAGGACAGCTTTCCTGACTACCAGAAGTGGCGGGGGGAGGGGGGAACATCACCTCTGTGCCAGTACCACCCCATGGCAGACAAGTGATGGTTAGCTCTCCCACATCCCTCTCACCAGAGCTAGCTCCACTAAGCACAGGACTGGAGAGATGGGACCAGATCTCCAGAAAGCTGCAACCAGTGAGGGGTGGAGCCAGTCTGTACAGCCCCTGGACATCCACATGGTTCTCTAAGGCTGTCCTGACCAGGGACAACTCCATGTTCTCTAGTGATAAGCTATAGACATCAACACCAACACCTACAGCTACATAGCCACAGACCCAGACATGACCTTCCCCAGCAGCTCAGGCTGGGACTTCCCCATGGCCCTAGGTAGCCCGGCTGGCCACTCACACCAGGCTACTCCTCTCTACCCTTGGGTTTCCAGCTCCACCTTTCTTCAGCCTACTCCACTTCTCTTTCTCTCCCTCTGACACTCTGACCACTCACACACTGGTGGAGACACTCCAGTGTGGCTGGTGAACCTCCGGGTGACATCCTCCATCTGTGCGTCATGGCATGGCGGTCTGCAGGTGTTCATCTTCCTCCTTCAGCGCTGTGCTGCCTGGATTTGACTTGATTTGATTTTTATGAGTCCTAGGCACAAAACATCTTTGGCCACCAAGCCAGGCATCAAGCTAGGATGAACAGAGGACTGCCATCTGCTCTGCCCCTGACTGACATAAGAACAACGCCAGCATCAAGGGCTCTCTGCCCATTGCCAGGGGGACATCAAGAATTTCGTCCTTTGATAATATTTGCCTCATCCCCACCCAACCATTCATCTCCCAGCCACCCAACTTGGTGCTTTCTTCTCTCTTTCCCCTTTATCCAGCCCAATTTGTATGAGCCAACTGCTCTGAGGGATGAGGCCTTCCCAGGAGTATGGTCAACAAAGGGTTAATCACTGACCCTTCCTCTCCTAGCAGCTATCAAATGCTGATAGCTTCCCACATCAGGGTGGGATTTTGTGCCCACCCCACACCGTCCATGCTAAGATTTTGTCTGCTTTGAGCTCACCCGGGTCTTATACACGCTGCCACAGTCATTGTGAGTTCATCTATGCAGCCAACCTGTCGTGTCTTGAATTTCCCTGGAAAACAGTTTCTCTGAAGTCACCCACCACCTCTATTACTTATGTTCTTTCTGCCCACTATTCCAAAAGGACCCTTGAATCTTGGGGGATGGGGTGTGATGGTGTGTCCAGGATATTTTTCTTTCTTTCTTTTTTTTTGAGACAGGGTTTCTCTGTGTAGTCCTGGCTGTCCTGGAACTCACTCTGTAGACCAGGCTGGCCTCGAACTCAGAAATCCGCCTGCCTCTGCCTCCCAAGTGCTGGGTTTAAAGGCGTGTGCCACCACCGCCCGGCCAGGATATTTTTCTTTATTGTTCATCTTTATTATCACACAAGGTTACCTTTTGTTCATTAATAATGTGTCTTTGTGGGTTCACTGATAATGTGTCTCTGTTGGTTGGGATCTTGTGAGGACAGTGCTTTCTGTCTCACTGTCACATGGATTCTTCTCTTGGTTCCTTAAGTGGGTGGCGAATAAATACAAGGAGCTTATTTGCTGAATGGTCAAACTGGAGGAGCATTTTAAAGGACTCCAAATATTTGAGAACAGCCTGCCAGTTTGGATGGTACTGAGCCGAGCCCCACGTGAGTAAACACAGATTGACCACGGTGTGTTGCTGTGCTCTGGGGCATTCAGGAACAAGCTCCAAGCAGACCCAACACGGCCTTACAGTAAATGGGCCCAGCCTCCATTTCCCATAGATTACTTCATAGCATTGGGTTTATTGCTTGCAAGTTTAGATGGACTCTGAAAATAATAAACCCATAGGTCTAAATACAGGACAGCATGTTCTCTGAGCATGAGCCTGAATTATCTTCCGCATAACTAGAAATTTCAAAATGTGAATCTGGAACTTCAAGAATTGCACAATGTGTTCTTTAGCACCAGGTTTGAAATTTTGCTTAAAGAATTCTTTTTCCCTGTTGCCTATGGCTGAGATGGCAAAGAGCCTCTAATTGCTCCATATCCTGGAGAATTAATGCCAGGAGCTGAGCCAGACCTCAGAGCCCCTAATGTCTGTGAGGAGGAGGCAGGAGCGCCCAGCCTTCAGTCCCAACCTCTCCTTAACCTCACTTCTGCTTTTCCATCTGTGGAAGCGGATGGGACACCTAACCCACAATGCCGGAGGGGTTCCTTAAAGACATTAAAGTCAAAACAGGACTGCAGGGACTTTCTGTAGCCAACAGGAGCAAAAAAAAAAATGTCCTTCTGTAAAAAAAAAAAAAAAAAGTAGTTGTGTAGCTAAATAGCTAAATCTTTTCATACGGGCTTCAGGTGCCCGTGTAAAGAAAAGGACTAGCCTCCTTAGCCCTCAGCAGGGCTCATAGCAGTTGCATAGCCTGACAGCTGACTCCATATTCTGCCTTCGGACAGGAGTGTGGTGAGGGGGTTCTTGGGGAAGCCCCTGGACTCCTTGCTGCTTGCTCCCCATCTTGGTATTTTGGAAGGATGGAATAGCCCGTGCCATCAGTTTGAACCGTGTTGGCAGAGTATGCCAGACAGATGGGATGGTGTCACAGGGCCACTCGGGTTAGAAAGATCACTGAATTTTAAGTGAAAGCTTGGCTACCTAAAGGAAGGAAACACGTTACCCAGGAGGCAGTGGGTCCAGCTGCTCTTCTTTCCAGGGATAGCCTCCTTTGCTGTGGGGGTGGGTGGTGGGAGGGCTGATGGGAAGGTAAAATTCCTGTCAGGAGGGGCTGGAGAGATGGCTCAGCGGTTAAGAGCACTGACTGCACTTCCAGAGGTCCTGAGTTCAAATCCCAGCAACCATATGGTGGCTCACAACCATCCGTAATGAGATTCAATGCCCTCTTCTGGTGTGTCTGAAGACAGCTACAGTGTACTCATAAATAAAAAATAAATAAATCTTTAAAAAATTCCTCTCAGAAGCAGCCACGGGCACCATCTCTTCCCAGGCCAACAGAGAATGCTAGTGTGATTAGGAATACCTCAGACCCCTGGGATACTCCTTCCCAACAGTACTCTATTCCCGCAGTCCTGAGGCTGGGAGACTTAGTGGAAAGACTCCCCCAAGTCACTTTCATGGGACCACCAGAGCCCTCACTCCTCCATGGGTCCCAACAGCCAGCTAGCCCATGATGTGGGAGGGGCACCTTAAAGTGGACCTGTCACTGGAGTTGAAAGAGGACTGAAGGGACGTTCAGTAGCCAAGAGTGACCAAAGTGAGAAGGATAGAGATGGGGCTCTTACCCTCATAGTCAGGCCAGGGTTGGGGAAAACAAAGGCACTTGGTGTGTTTACACCTAGTCAACACACCTAAGTCAACACTTAGGTAGCATGTGTTTAGGTAGCATGTGTCATGTTTTAGGACTAAGTTCCTTTGCACCTCAGACATCTGTCACACCCTCTCCCTGAAAACTTCAGAGAACATTGTAAAAGAGGACACAGAAAGACTGCAAGAGCCAGACTTGGTGGAAGACTACAAGGGAACTGTTTTCCAGACACATGTTGCTTACACGTTTGGACATACATCGAGAGTAGGAATTGTGATAACATGCATGCAGTGCCTGTTTGCACATATGGACTCATACCAAGTGTAACAATTGTGACAGCACGCACAATATCTGCACAGGCTCAAGCAGGGCAAAATCCCAACATGGAGAGGGGATGTGGACACAGAGTCCCACCCCTAGGCACACAAAGTTGGGTTGGTAGAGAGGGCAGGGTGTATCTGGGAGGAGTTGGAGAAGAAGGCGTTATCTTGGTTGCTATTGCTGTAATAATCACAATGGCTGGGGTGGCTTAAATGAGAATGGCCCCATAGTCTCATAGATTTGAATACTTGGTCCACAGGTGGTAGAACTGTTTGGGAAGGATTAGTAGGTGTGGCCTTGTTGGGTGAGGTGTGCCACTGGGAGTGGGCTTTGAGGTTTCAAAAGCTCACAGCATTTCTGGTTAGCGCTCCATCCCCCCCTCCGCTTTCCCTCCCTCCCTCCATCCTTCTCATGGTTGTTATCTCAACATGTAAGCTCTCAGATACTGCCCCAGCGCCATGCAGGCAGCCTGCTGCCATGCTCCCTGACATGGTGGAAGCACATTTGTCATAGCAACAGCAAAGTAACTTGTGGTGGAAAGAGCCTATTTGGCTCATAGGTTCCACACCACCCATCATCAGGGGACGCCAAGACAGGAACTCTGGGCAGTAACCTGGAACCAGAGGCCACAGAGGAATGCTGCTTACAGACTCACTCTCTGTGGCTTGCTCAGCCACACTTTCTTCTATAACCCAGTACCATCTGCCCACGGGTGGCATTGTCCCACTGGGCTAGGTTCTCCCACATCAATCATGAATAGAAAATGCTCTCTTGGAGAGATGGCTCAGAGGTTATGGATGGCTAGAGAGATGGCTCAGAGGTTAAGAGCACCGACTGCTCTTCCAGAGGTCCTGAGTTCAATTCCCAGCAACCACATGGTGGCTCATAACCATCTGTAATGTGATCTGATGCCCTCTTCTGGTGTGTCTGGACAGCTACAGTGTGCTCATATAAATAAAATAAACAAAACTTTAAAAAAAGAAAGAAAGAAAGAAAGAAAGAGAGAGAGAGAGAGAGAGAGAGAAAGGAAGGAAAAAAGAAAGAAAGAAAGAAAGAAAGAAAGAAAGAAAGAAAGAAAGAAAGAAAGAGAGAAAGAAAATGCTCTCTAAGGCTGGGCAACGTGACCCACACCTTTAATTTCAGCATTCAAGAGAATGTTTGTGAGTTTGAGGCCAACCTGGCCTATATAGCCAGACCCAGGCCAACCAGAGCAACATAGTAAGAACTCTCTTTGAAAGTGTGTGTGTGTGTATGTGTGTGTGTGTGTGTGTGTGTGTGTGTGAGAGAGAGAGAGAGAGAGAGAGAGAGAGAGAGAGAGAGAGAGAGAGATTTCTCTTCTCTCCCAGGTATCTAGCTTGTAACAGGTTGACACAAAGCCAACCAAGAAGGGAGTAAACATGACAAAGTTCGTTGTTTGAAACTCTGGAAGAGGCACGCCTTTAATCCCAGCATTTGGGAGGCAGAGGCAGGCAGATTTCTGAGTTCGAGGCCAGCCTGGTCTACAGAGTGAGTTCCAGGACAGCCAGGACTACACAGAGAAACCCTGTCTTGGAAAAAAAAAAAAGAAAAGAAAAAAGAAACTCTGGAAGAAATAATAAAAGGAAGGAGCACTCAGTTTCAGTCTGTTCCTCAGCTTCAACACATACACACACACACACACACACACACACACACACACACACACACACACACACCTTGTCCTAACTAGAGTCTCACAAACAGCATGCAGACATTTTTAGCTGTGGACTTTGAGACCTGGGAGAGGGGGTTGGGTGGTGCCCTTTGGGTCACTATTTCAGTCTTTCAGCAACACTTGGCTGTGGTTAGCTAAGGTCTGGTTAGCCCTTGACTGTGCAATCTGCCCCAAGCTGAGGGTGCTTCCCCCTTTCATCCCCCAGAGCCTGTCTGCCCTAGAAGACTGGCCTGCACACAGGCCCTGACTACCCTTTTCCCCTTCCTGTTTAGTCTGGCCAATGGGGAGCCCTGGCCAGGTCTGGGGCAAGGGAAGAGAGCAAGATTTTATGGTTTCTTCACATAGCTCCTTCAGAGATCTGTCACTACAAACTGGCTTATCCCTCATCCAAAGGTCCTAACTCATACCATGCACCCCTCTCTACATACAAGACACTTACCAGGCACTAGAGCCACTGTTGGACTTCCCTAGCTTGTTGAATCATGCTTCAAATACACTTCTGCATTTCATAAAGTATTCTGGCAGTAATATTACAGCCACAGAAAATACACTAAACTTTCTTTAGCTTAAAAACAGAGATTTATTTCGTTGTTTATTTTTGTGTGTCTATGTGTGATCCTGGGATGATGTCACCATAGTTAGGGAGGATCTTTCCCTCTTCTTCTGGAAACTTCCTTAGAGACACACACAAAAGTGTATCTAACTAACACCCAATGCAGTTTCCTTTTCTTATTTTATCTTTAATTACGTGTATGCATAGTGGTACACATGAGTGCAGGTACCCACTGAGGCCAGGAGGGAAACCAGGTCCTCTGAAGCCAGAGTTACAGCTGCTTGTAATCTTCTCAGTGTGGGTAGGCGCTGGGAACCAAACTCAGGTCTTATGAAAGAGCATCAGACTAACCACTTCTTAGCCGCTGAGCCATCTCTCCAGACCCCAAATTACTTACTGGTGATCAGTGTATGTGCAGGCACATACCACGACACACCTGTGGATCTGAGGACGTCTCTGTGGTGTCAGTTCAGTTCTCTCCTTCAACCTTTACGTGGGCTCTGGGGATCGAACTCAGGCTGTTGGATTTGTGTGACTGGCACCTTCACCGGCAATGTCCATCTCACCCACTCTTTGTGCGTCTTCACTTTTAGATAATATTTTTGCTGAGTCTTTGAGAATTTCATGCAGTGCATTTGGATCCTGTTCACATACACGCCAACGTCTCCCACCTCCGTCTCCCACCATCCTGCGCACCCAGCATCCTGCGCACCCAGCATCCTGCGCACCCAGCATCCTGCTCTCGCTTTTAAACTCATCAGGTCTGGTTTGTGCCATCCAGGTTTTGGATGGCTTTCCACAGGTGTGTGATCCACCTACCTGTGATCACACCCTCCGAGAAGACTGGGTCTCCTCCCCCTTGAGAGCCCCCCTCTTTCCTATTGCTCCTTTCTAATTCCTACCTTCTGGGGGAATTCTAAGTGAAACACAAACATCTACAAATTCAAAGCTAATAGCCACGGACGAGAGAACGCCTATGGTGTTTGTGTTTCTAACTCCAGACTACCTAGTTCAGGATGCTTGTTTCCAGCTCCATCCATTTACCAGGAAAATTTTGTTTTTGAGGCAGTGTCTCATGTATAGAAGGCTAGTCTATGGCTCACTATGTAGCCAAGGATAACTTTGAACTTCTGATTCTCTTGCCTCCACCTCCAAAGAGCCACTAAACCCAACTTATGCAATGCTGGGAATTGAACCCAGGGCTTCGCACATATTGGCAAAAAATTCTATCAACTGAGCTACACCCCAGTATCCTAGAAATTCCTTTTCTTATTATTTTTTTTAATGTGAGGAGTATACAGGTCTCACTCTCTGTCTATCTGTCTCTGTCTCTCTGTCTCTCTGTCTCTGTCTCTCTCTCTCTGTCACTCTGTCTCTCTCTCCCCTCCCCAAGTGCTAGGAGTCTACCTGCCTGTCTCCATCTCCTCTTTTCAGCACCTCTGGGTTACAGATGCTGCCAGATGCCCAGGGTGTGTGTGGTGCTGTGGATCCAACAATCAGGTCTGCATACTTGTGCAGAAGGCACTTTACAGGCTGAGCCATCTTCCCAGTCCCTGCTCCTATGCTCCTGGCATACCTGTGTTGAGTCAAGTGGAATCATAATTAACCATCACCTTAACTGAAAGTTTATTGTTTATGTTGAAATTTCATGCTTTGTCACATCTCAAACACACATTTACTGATTATAAATTTCTTTCTTTCTTTTTTTTTTTTTTTTTGACTTTTCAAGACAGGGTTTCTCTGTGTAGCCCTGGCTGCCCTGGAACTCACTCTGTAGGCCACGCTGGCCTTGAAGATTATAAGTTTCTAAATTGAGATATGCATTAAATTTACTAATAACCAGACACTGTTGATGAAACTTGCTACTCCTGTAGAAATAAATATATTTACTTTCTTTTTGAACAAACACAAAGATGATTGAAACAAAACCTCTCATCTTAATAAGTCTACAACGTTTCATTTAGTACAATATAAAGGATCTGAGTGATAAGAAACTGTTATTTTAGGTTAACTGGAACCATGTTTTTCTTGGAAGTGTGTATATAACTGTACATCTTTCAAGCTACCATGTTTCACATTTTAAAGAAGTACAGTGTGTCATTACACGGTGTGTTTCCTGCTAACCTGCCCTGTGAGAAAGGAGTACTTTAGTGTGGGAGTAGAGGGAGAGAAACAGACAGATAGACAGACAGACAGACAGACAGACACAGAGAGACAGAGACAGAGAAATAAAGAGACAGAGAGAGACAGAAGAACAGACAGACAGAGACAGAGAGACATAAACAGACACAAGGTCTGCTGTACAACTATGTAGCCCTGGTTGGCCTCAAACTTGCAGTGATTCCCCCTGTCTCTACCTCCTGAGTGCTGAAGTTACAGGCATGTGCCACCACACACTTGGAATGGAAATAGGCATTAATTCCTCCCAAGACTTTTCATAGTCTTTTTATACTTCATACTTTCCATTTCCATAAGAATTGAAAAGCATTGCTGAGAAAATTAAACATTTTCTATGCCACAGTAAGATTTTATCATTGGGCTGACGTTTGAGCATTGATTTGGGGATAGATTTACAGTCACCTCAGAGTGACTCATTATCATATTCTAAGACTTGAGTAGAACATTTCATGCTTTGTATAGAATCTAGATACTTCTCCAGGAATGGTGACTTCTGGGGAACACAGGCAGTTTCATTCTCTTTTTTTCAGTTCATGTTTGTAGAGCACCTACTCGGCAGACATTATAACAGGTAAGGGCACAAAGATGACATACAACGAGACGGACATTTTTGTCCTTTGATTTTTTTTAATATACTTTCCCTGTGGACAGATAGGCAGATAGGTCAATATAGTGAAGTATGCCAAACTCTGAAATTGTGTCAACTTGTGACACAGTCCAGCAGATTGAATCCTCAAGTTCTTCATCCTCTATCCCACAGGCTCCACCCATCCTCTCCACGTTTCTTTCTTTGAGTGAGCGATGTTTCTACTCCTTTGGAGTTAGTCTTCCACGCGGGGACCTGGCTTTGACATAGCAGTTATTCCCTTAGGACCAGAATCTCCCTCTTCATTAGAACCTTCTTGTCCCTACAAACCAGACCTTCACTAGAAGAATGCCTTTGCTTATGAGTAAATTAATTCACTTTCTCCTGCTCAGTGATGTGTCTTGCTTCCCTTCTAGAACACGAAGTAGATTTTTGTTTAGATCGTAACACAATGAGAATGAAACCAAGAAATAGTGATATGATAGCCACTTCTTAGGTAACATGGGCCAAGACTAGTTAGAACTTGAGCTGAGATAGGCACTGGTGTGTGTGTGTGTGTGTGTGTGTGTGTGTGTGTGTGTGCGTGGTGTGTACTTTATGGATACACAGGGTCTGTCTCATCTATCCCAGGCTGGTCTCAAACTCAATATATATCCAGGACTGGCCTTGAACCTCTGGTCTGTCAGCTCTGCCTCCCCAGTGCTAGGATTATAAGTGTATACCATCACCAGGTTTGTGCAGTTCTGGGAATCTACCTAGGGATCTATGCATGCATGCTAAGCAAGCACTCTGCCAGCTGGTTCCCAATGTGGTTTCTCAGTTAGGGTTCCTGAGGTTAGGATGAGGCATCCTCAACGTAGTGTTCCCTATTTGAAAAGAGGTCACAGAAGACAAGGCCCGCAGTCAGTGGAGAGGACATGACTGATGAGGCAGGGTTGCATCAGTACACGGAAATGCATGAGAACAACAATAAAATGAACAGACACCCAGTTATGACCAGAAGATGGTGGGGAAGGGAGGGAGACACCTGGTCAGTGTCCAGGAAGAAATTGATGGGCAGGTGCCCAGGGCTTATCTCAGAGCAAACGCCACTTTGTGAAGAAGTCCCACATGGTGGGCAATGCTTTGCTAGCTCAGGCCTGCTTAGCAGAAGTTGGCATGGTTAAAGAGCAGACCTGGTGGGGCAGTGTGGTTTCCAGCTATTATCTTGTGGTCACACCTTTTCCTCTGCTTATCTTCTGTGATCCATTGAAACACTTTCTTCTCAGAAAGTATTTCTGAGAGGTCTCTGTTTCCGTTGACAAATCAATCTGCAAAGTCTTTGTTGGGCATCTCTAGCTGCTCTGGAGTCCTTGTGGACACCAAGCTGAGCGACATCCTGTCACGGAGAGAGGCATGTGGCTCACAGCCTAGTCCACTGAGTGCAATCTGAGTGGCAGGCTCAGAACTTCTCAGGAAGGCCCTCGGGTCTGAAGTGGTTAGGGTTTTTGCCACTGCGGCCCCATTCCTCGGCTTTCTGGGTAGCCTGCAGACTTTCCAATCCGTGGTCCCTGACTCCGAAATAATACCGGTTTAGGAGACCCTGGAAGTAGCTCCTGCCAGTGCTGAAATCAGAGGAAGAGAGACAGAAGATGAACTCCACACTGAGACAGCTGACCTTGAAGTCCCTCCTCCTCTCCTACCAAAGAATGACCCAGAAAATACCAGAGGAGTAAAGGCTAAGGCACAGAAAAGAGGAAATAGTTTCTTGGGCAAGGACCTCCCATGGAGGTCCTTTCCATCCTGTTACAGTATGCTTTTGAGACCCCTGTCATGGTTTATACCTTTTCTTGGTGGGGAGCTCCCATCCTCCCCCTCCATCCTTATCCTCCCTCTCTTCCTCTCCAGGCCACCCAGACTCTAGCACCATAGACAGTAGAAGAGGCCACAGGCAGGAACAATGAAAGGTATGATGCACCAGGACCATTACCTGATTATTTTAGCAGCCCAGATGCCCCCAGATCCCCTTTGTTGGGCCTCGAAGTTCCCACGAGCATAGAAGTATTGGTCTGAATTTTGGTAATTAGCTTCTAGGCTGTCCTGATAGGCTCTCCACAAGTCCCAAGTCCCTACAAAGGAAGGAAGGTTACAAAAGTAAACCTGGTGGTTCATTGGTGAAACGGAGGAAGGAAAACTTTCTGTGAGTTTCCACATTTTACCCCTTGATAGCATAATCCTTTGAAATGGTTCATGAAAGTGAGTGTCCCTTGCTGGGGATAGTTTCACTGGTGACCATAAGGAGGGCCCTTCTCCATGGATTGGCTTGGGTTGAATTGATTGACAGTTGCAGTGTCCTGGGCTGTGTCTTATATGGATCTGTGTGTGCTATGCACTAAGAAGAGATAGGACTGTCCTGTAAGAGAGATAAGCACAGACAATAACATCCCAGGGGTAAGATCCAGGGACAGCTGTGCAGCGAGAGGAAGTGGGGAATGGACATTTATCTAAGGTCCCTAAAAAAGCACAACAGAGAATGTATTAGCTACTTCTCATTATTGGGACAAAATCCCCAACAAGCAACTTAGAGAAGAGGGCTGTATTTTGGCTTAGTTTGAGGGGAACACATGGTGATATGTGAGGGGGCTAGTCACAATGTGATCCTTCCCCAAGTCTAGGCACCCCAGCCCATGGAATGGGGCCGTGTGTATTCATTTATAGGACGGATCTTTCTCTCTTCTTTATTTAGACCTGTCTGGGAACATTGTCATAGACACATCCAGAGGTGTGTCCCCTAGATGACTCTAAATCCAGCCAAGTGGGCAAAGGAGATTAACCTCCACAGGCTGCTGAGCTTCGGTCCCTTCAACTGGGGAGCTGCACATACCTCCTAGTAGATTAAAGAGAAGACAGGATGAGGCGGTGCACATGAAATGTCACGTGGTGTGCATGAAATGTCACGTACAGTGCTGCAGGGGCTGCACCCCTCCCCGTTACTGAGGGGTGGGACATATACCTATGTAACCAGACAGGTGACAACTGACATCCATGCAGACAAGAGTATAAAGAAGCTGGAACTTGGTGTGGGACACAGTCATACGTGGTGAAGTTGGAAAGTCAGAGCTGGGAAATAGCAACTAGACTCAAGGTCACTGTCTGCAGCTGCACAAGACCGTCCTCCTGTGTGGTGCTCGGGGTCTACAGATGGTAAGGTGATCTCAGTGTTTCCCTCCACACTTGATAGCTGCCCACTCCTGTCTGCTTAGGGCTATGGAGGATGTAGTTGTATTTATTATGTTGTAATATTTTTAACATCCTATGACTTCATGCTAGAAATTTTCTATTGTTTATAGAAACTTTTGTAGAAATGCTAAGTCTAAAGTACATCTGCATGTCAGTAAAGATCTGTTTCATACAGAAAAAAAAAAAAAAAAAAAAAGAAGCTGGAACTTTATAACTCCAAATTATGAATTGTAAAAAGTAGAACATTGGAACACTGCTTGCCGGAGTCTACTGACCCTCAAATGACACATGCCTCCCAACCCTGTGATTCTACTCCTGTATTCGTATCCCCAGAAGAAGTGAGTGTTTATTCCCAATGAACAGAAATGAATAATCACAAAGACACATGTTCATGATGTTCATTTTAGAGTTCCCTGTCATGGTCTCAAACGAAAAGATGAGACGAGTGTAGCATGAATAAGTAAACTGTGTCAAAACACCTGCCAACGTGCACTGCTAAATTTCTAGGAGTTCTGAATCCTTGGTTCTTGGCTCTTTGTCTGGAATAGGATGGGATTTCTCCAAGAAAATATTATCTATAGGCATGTGCACGTTTTCTAAGTGCATTGCCTCTGGAGACATACTGAGTGCCCAGTTACACTCTAAGACTGGGGAATTCCCTGACTCTGGAAATCCTGATCCCTCTGTGTCAGCATCAGAAATACAGGCTGGACCTTGTGAACCATGTCTGAAAGTCCCTCAGAGGGTGCCAGGTGACCAATGTAGATCGGGAAGCCACAGAAAGCCAAACTCCTGCCCTGACTCATTTGTAGTTTTTTAAAGGGGTCCCTGTGCCAGACAGGCATGTGGCATCTGCTCAGATGCCTCCCTGCCTCCCTCCTGGCTTCTTACCTTGTATGGCTTCCCTGAAGAATGAATACCAGCCATCACCACTGACTCCCAGGAACAAAGAGCAGAGGACAACAACCGTGGCAAGCCTCATGGTGCTGCAGAAACAGAAAGGGCAGTCAAAACAGACCTACAGGCCGGGAGGTGGTGGCACACACCTCCACTCCCAGAACTCTCAAGGCAGTGACAGATGGATCTCTGATTCTAAGGCCAGCTTTGTCTACATGGCAAGTTCCAGACCAGCTGGGGCTACATAGTGAGGCCCTGTCTCAAACAAACAAACAAACAAAGACTCACACTTTGACTTGTAAAGATAAGCTAGTCCTGTACTAACCGTTTGTTCATACCTGAATTATTACTTCGAAGACAACAGAAATGGGCTTTAGGAATCTCGGCCAGATCCCTGGATAAGGAAGACTTCCAAGGTGTTGCTGGCTTGGAGCCCATGTGCACCTAATCAAGCTGACTAAAGCTGGTCAACAAGCCTTTCCTGCGTGCTCTGTTCCACTTAGCTCAGACCCCAAAAGATGCAGAAAATTCTGGGGCTGGCAGTCATTTGGTGGTATGCTTTTTCAATGAGTTTGAGGCCAGAGGTTTCATCCCCAGAACCACCAAACAAAACCAAGCCTGGTAGTACATGCCTGTAATCTCATTGCTAGGATGTAAAAACAGAGCAATCAGAAGTTTACAGTCCTCCATGGCTACAAAGCTACCTCCAGGCCAGCATGGGCTACATGAGACCCTATCTCCAGGGAGGAAAAAAAAATGATCAGGAAACATAATTTTCCCAATTAGAACTTACCAACTCTATATGAAACAGATCTCAGGAATAAATCATGAACAAGATCTCCCTGGAAAATCTGACCGTTATGGCCCTTTCTCTGGCTGAAGTTTCAGAGGAATTAGGGCCACTGGGACCTTCTCTCCACGGAGCATCTGCTGCTTTCCCTCTCCTGGCTTTAATATTAATGAGAAGAGTGATTTTAAATCCAACAAACCATGGCACAATCTCTCTTGCTCAATCCTTCCTGGTAAATAAACAGTTACAGGCTTGAACTATAGGTCAGCAGCAGAGCGCTTGTCTAACACGTGTGAGATCCTGACATCAATAGCCAATGCCAGGAAGAAAGAAAGAAAAAGCTAGCAGATTGAGTAAAGCATTTCCATTTTGACAAGTTTTTCTAATTCTTACCTCCTTGCACTAACTTCCCTGAATAATACACCACAAGATGTGAGCTGAATTAAAATCTTTCTTCACCAGCTTATTTTTGGTTGTGATGTTTTTTGTTGTTTTTGAGATAGGATCTTACTAGGTAGCTCTGCCTGTCCTGGAACTCGCCCTGTAGACCAGGCTGGCCTCAAACTCACAATGATCTTCCTGCCTCTGCCTCCAGAGTGCTGGGACTTAAAGGTGTGTGCCACCATACCTGGCTGGTCATGATGTTTTATCACAGCAGTAGAAACCCTAAGACATGGACCCAGTTCTGAAAATCCAGACTCCTAAAAGCCAAGGTCTTGTTTGCTCTTTTTGCTTACATGGAATCCCTGATGCTTGAAACAGCACCCAGGGCTCTAGTTTCTCTGTCTCCATGGTGAAATGCCCTGATGAGGAGGGACACAGAGGAGAAATGGGTTTATTTGGCTCATAATTCCATCTCAGTTCATAATTGCTGGAAAGTTGCAGCAGTGTTCACAGCCAATCACAAACCTTCCTGGTCAGGAGCACTGAGAAAAGAATGCTCCAGGGCTCTCGGCTAGCTTCCCTTCACCCTTACACAGTTAGCGGCCCAGACCATGAAACTACCACTGTATTCAAGGTGGGTCTTCCCACCTCAATTAACAATCCAGACAACCCTCACAGACAAGCCCACAGCCAGTCTGATTTAGTCAGTTCTTCCGTTGAGATTCCCATATCAGGAAATTCTAAGTTATAACAAATTGACACTTAAAAACTAACCAGCCCATCCAGGACTCACAGTAAGTCTGTCTTAACTATTTCCCAACTGAACACCTGGACAGACAATGTAACTAAATGTTTTAAAGATTTCCTCATACATTTAAAATAGCATAGGATGTCCATGATCTGACCCAGCCTGGGCTAAATAGTGAGAACCTGTCTCAAACAAATATTAAAAAGGCAACTAGCAGCTAGGTGTGGTGGTGTATGCCTTTAATCCTAGCATTCAGGAGACAGAGGCAGGTGGATCTCTGAGTTCAAGTCTAGCCTGGTCTATAGAGCGAGTATCAGAATAGTCATGGCTACATAGAAAAACTCTGTTTCAAACAAAACAAAAAATAAAACAAGTAGTTCCATTTGTCACGTGGTGCACGAATTGAAGCCATGAAATTATCTTTCCTGAATAAGTCTAGAAATAATCCCCTCCCTCTCTGTCTGCCTCTGCTAGAGACCTGGACAGGTAGTAGGCTCGCTCAGTTTGTCATTGGCTTAATTGATGCCCAGACACAGAAGGGGACAATCTACTTTGCTGAGTTTACAATTCAAATGCTAATCTCACCCAGAAACAATTTAACACACAAATGAGTGGTTAATCGGTTCATCTGGTGGGCAATGAAAGCAAACACATTTAAAGAAACTATTTCATGCAGCAAGACAGTTCTGGACTTTGACAATAGAGATGAGTTGATTTCTGACTGAGAAAAACATTACTAAAGATACTTGATTGTGTTCAAGCAAGCCCCTGGGTTTGAGCCCAATACTCCCAGACAAAATAAATAAAAAAGGAAAAAATGACTGGGGAGATAGAACATTTGGTAAGGGGCTTGGGATGCAAGCATTAGAATCTGAGATGAGTCCCAGGAACCAGGAACTGGAACGATCTCAGCTCTACCCTGTACGGAAGCTCTGGGAGACACTCGGTGTCCTAAAGTGAAGGATGGGGTGTGGTCCCGTTATGTTCAGCCAGGATCCTACTGTGATCCACAACCTAGAAAACTGGGCAGCAGCTGATCAGTGCTTCTCTCCTCCCCGGTGCTCACCTTGTCTCCAGTGGGCCTCACAAACTGACAGCAGCAACACACCGCACACACACTGACAGTGGCTAACACCCCCCCACACACACACACTGACAGTGGCTAACACCCCACACACACACTGACAGT